AACTGCCCAATCTGCAAAAAACAACAAGGTCTCTTTCTCTAAGTGAATGGATAAATAAACTGATTTTTATCTCCAGAAAGTGAAATATTTAAGCACTAAAAGGAGAGGTTCACTAAAAGTGAACCACTTTTAACTAGCTGATTTTCCAGAGCTTGGCATGAAGACTTTATGGAAATATCTAACTTTGGACTCTGAAGACACTATTTCCCGGTCTTCTCATTTCTCACTGGTCATTTTCAGAATTCTCTTCCAAATCTAGAATTATCTGTACTCCCCAAGGATCTGCCATTAGACACTTGAAACTATTTTCTACACGCTGATCAAACTCTGCTTGAGACTCTGGTGCAATTCCAGCTCCTCAAGCTATGTCACATCAGCTCCTCAAGAAAGTTAATGCTTAAAGGAGATGATGTTTCTATCTCCTTTAAGTGAGATGATGTTTCTATCTCAAGGATGACAGCATAGATATAACAATATGGCAGATGAATCACACAGAGAAGATGGTATTTTGGGACATCTACAGGCGGTTTAAGAGCTTGAAACTTAAAATAAAAATTAAAGAAATATGAAATGGAAAGGCAGAGAGACGCTAGATCACTGAAGACCTCATAGCCTGGAACAGAGAATTTTGATTTTACCTCATAGGTAAGTAATTTAATAAAAACTAATGACCTAACCATAAGCATAACACTTCTACCTTGCCAATAACTTTATAAAAACCACAATTCAATAGGTAAGAAATGATGCAGTTAGTCACCAAAGGCATTAAAGCAGGTAAGTGATCAAGCTTTCTTTTCAATACTTGCATTTACTAAATTGCGGAGCAAAAGTGGTCAAAACCAGAAGCAGGCAATAGGGCAAAGTAGTGACACAACTGAAATGTTAAACAGTGTGAGCATACAATCGACAACATTTTGAGATTCATATGTACTGTCATTTAATCGTTATAATTCCCATAAGAGATGGTAGCTACATATGGGGGGGAAAAAACTTAATCAGAAAGTTCCAGTTTCAATTAATGTGGAATAACACCCCTTTTAATAGTCCAATTTTGGCTTCTTTCAGCCTGAAAAACTTCCATTAGCATTCCTTGCAATAGGTTTGGAGGTGATAAATGCCCTCCACTTTAATTTTGTAGCAGTTTTTCTTTAACCCTTCATTTCTAGAGTACAGCTTTGCTGGGTGAACTATTGTCTGGTAGTTTGCTGCTTCAACAGGTTTAGTGTATCATCCCACCCTCTTCAGATGCGTAAGGTTTACACTGAGCAGTCCGCTTACTGAAACATCTCCTCTGCTCTCAGACCCTTCTGATTTCTGAAGGTTTATCATATTTATGGTGAATCTCAATGGATCTGGTTCCTGCCCCACCATTTTTCTCAAAAAAGTTTGGTGTCCTCTTTCGCTGTAATTCTTCAACTCTTGTTCTTTTTATCATTCTGATGTTGCTCCCTAAAGCCTGTAAGCTTCCTCCACTTCTTCCTGGTTCTCTTTTACAATCCCTAAGTATATATTTTCAAATAAGCCAAGTTTGGATTCCTCTGCTTCGATCACTGCCACTGCTGATATCCTTGCCTGCAGTGTTGCTTTCAACGTATTTTTCAGCTTTGGAATTTGGAACCTTTCTTTAATATGTTCAAACTTCTGACTAAAATTTAGTAGTCTACTGTTTTCCTTGAGTGGTTCCTCTGTAGTTGGTTCAACATCATTAAGTGTATTCAAAACAGTTCTCTGATTTTTTTATTAGGCAGATCACAATTTGTCATTTCCTATGGTTGATACCTGGTGATTCAGTTCCTGTTCATTTGAGTAAGTGGAGCCTTGAATTCCACTGTTTGCAGGCTGACTTTGGAAAAGTTCTTCACCAGTCAGCCTGCAAAAATTGCTGTTAGACCACAGGTGAGCAAAAGCAATATTGCTCCTCAAATCCATGGGTACATTGGTCTGAAATAAGTGTGCAGGCTTTTACCCAAAGCCTAAACGCATTGAGTGTGCTACAGTGCCTACTGACTGACTGGATCAAGAAACATGGACCTGGAATCTGTGTCCATGCAGCCAGGCTTGAAGCCTGAGTCCATAGGAGCCGATGTGGCGCTAGAACAGGATGGGCATCTGAACCTATAGGAATCAGTCAGATGCTAGAATGTGGCTTTCACCTGAGAAGGCAAGGCTAGATTCAAGAGCTAATCTGCAAGGGAGTTATAGGAACCTTGGTGTGTGGAGGCAGGTTTGGCACAGGGTCTTCTGGGATGCATTGCACTGTGGGTTCACAAGAAACTGAGGCCACAGTTTCAAGTCTACTGGTGATGAGGCAAGTATGCAGGCTAGAACCAGGAAAATCAGCTTAGAAGTTTGAAATATAACTTGTCTCATGATCAGTGCAATACTATGGCATGCATCCTAAAGCTAGAGAGGCCGGTCCTAAAAGCCTAAGGGGAATGATCCACAACTGAAGTTTACTAAATTGACTGAGACTTGGAGACCTAACAAACAACCTAGGGTCCAATCTGGAGGGGAAGGATGTAGAGACTGGCTTAGCAGTAGGCTGCAGTCCAAAACTTTAGAATGCAACTGAGAGCCAAAGCGGCACAAGAATTGGGTGTTGCACACTTCTCTGTCCCTCAACTTGACTAGAAAAGGACCGCTGTTGATGTCTGAAGTAAAACTAACAGTTAATGCATTTTTCCCGAAAAGAGATTATCCATCCCTACACATTGCTATGAAGGGTTGAGAGAGGTGTGAGGCATGTAAAACTGCCCTCCCTACCCTCTTTAATGTCCTTGCTCAGCTGTTCCACACCTGGAACCTATGATCTCTGACCTGATCCCTTTCCTTTTTGTGATTTTTGTGTAAGTTTTTCAAAGTAATATTTCTGCAAAGAAACAAGTACCACAAAAACCTATCCTATGACCTTGCTAACATCTAAATCTTAAGAAACCAGGTTTTTTCATTAAACTGGCACCACAATATTTCCGACCACTGCTATCATTAAAAATATATAGATTTATTTCAATGCTAACATCCCATACCACACTACTAGTGTGGTTCTACCCCATCAATTCTGCTAACACTCAACCCTGAAATATGTTAATGTCCTGGCTATTCGAGGATATTGTTTCAAATGTAGGTTTGGTAAGGCTTCTAATTTAATCTGAACCTTAATGGCATAAAACTTTCAACAATGTCTGATACGCCACCTCACTCATGCCCCTCAGTAACCTCCTAAGTTTTCAATAATCTCAAGTACCTTAACTACATACTAGTTATAGTATCCCACAAAATATAACTAAAGCGTATTTCATAAAAAGTCACAGCCACTAATCTACAATGAGCTACCAACTCAATTCCATTAGGATGGCTATTATCTAAAAACAAAACATAGCAAAACAAACACTATAAATGTTAACAAAGGCAGGAAAATTGGAACCCCTGTGCACCCTGGGTAGGAATGTGAAACGTACAGCCAATTGGAAAACTACAAAATTAAAAACCATTTATCCTATGGTATACATAATCTATCATATGTATACCATTTAGGTATACATCTACAACAACTGAAAACAGGGTCTTCTAAGTTCAACTATGTTCACAGTATATATTACCCATAATTATTAAAATATGATGGCAACCTAAGCATTCAATGAGATGAATATATACATGGTGTGATAAAATGGATTATAATCAGTCTTTCTAAAAGGGAATTTTGACATATGCTAACAACATGGGTGAAACTTCATGTTTTGTTAAATAAAATAACTCAATTACCAAAAGATAAAAGGTATATGATTACACTTGCTTATAAGTACTCACTAGTCAAAATTATACACAGAAAGTAAATGATGAACAGAGAAGCAAGTGGAAATTATTTCATTCAATTGTACAAGCTTAAATATATTTTGCAAAATGAACTGTAGGAGTTGCTGTAGTGATGGTTGCACAATATTAATATACTTTTAATAATAATTAAAATGTACATCTAAAATGAAGATAATGTTACATATATCTTACAACTTTTTAACAGTTAGTTGGAAAATAAGTCACATATTTAAAACATATTTATAGTTCTTAAGAGATTCACAATATTATCAGCATGAGAAATGACTCCCTACTATTTTCAATCAAGAAAATTCTGATTTTTTCATTTTCATGCAGAAACACATTTAACATCACATATCAACTAACATTTGATTTCAGGTGGAAATCTTATTCAAGGTCAAATCGTACAATTATCTTTCATTTTACTTCGTAAATATTTGTCTTAAGCTAGAAAAATTTATTTTGAAATTGATATTTTATTGTCATTCTTGTTAAAAATCTCACTAACCGAACTACTGAAGGGTCTGGTCACCCCAAGAACCATGTTTCTCTTTAATAATGTTTATCCACTGCCAGAACCACTAAAAATCCATGTCTAATAGCATCACTACCACTGAGTGAATTTTCTATGACTTTGTATCTGTAAGGAACAGGATACTTCAGATACCACGCAATGACAGTTTTTTCTAGCAAGTCTTATCTTCTCATCCTTGGTGTATGACCTAAATTCCTCCATGCCCAATGTCTACATTGATCATGCTGCTTTATCTACTACTCAGCTCAGAAATATGTCCACAGTACACCTGGCTTACTATTGTATGTCAATCAATGAAATTGTTTCTTCATATTTCCATCTGAGAATACTATAAATTCTATAACACAAGAACTAATTCTTATGCATCTTTATACCCAAAACATAACACCTATGCCTTACACATAAGTTATTAAATTTTCTCAATCTTTATTCCTCCATACCACAAAAAGGCAAAGGAATTCAAGAGAATGTAATCTTATAATTGTAGAAATCAGTAACTTTGTAATAAGGTCAGAAGTTTGGGTAGAAGAAAAATCAGATAACGTTCCAATGTCCAAATCTACCCTCAAATTATTTGTAACCACAAATTATTTTCGAGCAATATATGACAATTCAAAGCTGCCTCGGGTAATTCAATTAAGTCAATACTTACATTCGGCTAGTTTCAATGTCGTCAGACTGAGCTTCTCCTGGTGATCTGTAAAATGCAATTGAAGAAAAGTTAGTGAAATAAAATTCCATTTTCTAATAAGGAATACACACGTAACTTGGAAAAACACTGAACGACAAAATTTAAGCACTAAATCCAGTAATTTAAAGATTTCAACAAGAGGAAAAGAAGTGGTAGGATCAGCTTGCCATACAATACAGTGAAAGAGCCAGACTTACAAGGAAACTGTAAAAACTGGCAACTAGATACCAACACACAAACCAGTTTAAGTCATAAATAGCAAATATCTATAATAAAAATAAACAAATGTGCGGCTTTTGTTTGATAAGCATTCGTTATCCACACTAACAAAATAATATCCATAACGGTCAACAAACCACTGCTTAGGTTGACAAGCCAAAGCTTGGAAAGAAGCTTGTCTTACAAATGCAGTTTCACTAGAAAGCGAACACTTCAACTCCACTAAATATTATCTAGGGTTGATTTCACTCTTAAAAAGCCAGAGTATTTATGGCAGAGAACACATGGCCCATAAAACCAAAAATACTACTTGGTCATTAACAAAAAACTTTCTCATTTCCACTCTAGATACCTCAAACTAAAATCTAATAACTTGCATGAATTTTGAATTAAATGAGGTGTACCACTCTAATGATGATTAGTTTTACAATGAAATCAGTTCTCTAAACACGAATGAATAGGATGTACTAGTACCTGCCTGAAATGTCTCATCTAGACTATCGAGGTTAAAGCTGCTGTGAATTCAGTTTTAAATGGTTGTGTTATTGAATACTGCTACTATTCTATACAGAAATACTGAAAAATCTCAATACACTAAGGCGGATTTCCCTTTCACTGAGAGATACAAACCATTTCCTTATTAATTATTAATAAGTTGTTTTAAAAATTCTAATACTCTATTAATTATCTTATTCATTTTCATAAACAGCATTTGCCAACCACTGTTGTAAAGCAAACCAACAGGGGCTGGCATTGTGATGTAGCCGTTAAAGCCATAGCATGCAATGCCCACAGCACAAATGGATGCCAGTTTGTGCCCAGCTTCCCCACTTTCCATCCAGCTACCCAGCTAATGGCATGGAAAAGGCAGCAGAAGATGGTCCAAGTGTCTGGGCTGTTACTACCCACATCAAAGACCTGGGAGAACCTCCAGGCTTCAGTTGCCAACTCTGGCAATTGTGGCACTTGTGGAGTGAAATCAGCAGGTGGTAGATCTCTCAATATCTCCATTTCTCTGTCTTCCTCCCTCTTCCTATGACTTTCAAATAAAAATAAATCTTTTAATGAAACAAAATAAAGCAAAATATCGATTTTAATACTTCAAAGTTTGAATATAAACTCAAACTATGTTATTTAAACCTGGATTTTTCAAATTGGCACTATAAGGACTTGATCTGTGAATCTGCCAGACTTTAAATATCCAACTTAAAGGGGGAAAAAAACTCTCAGCAGACAAATTTTAAAACAAGTGATTAAGATGTTACCTAAATTTTTTAGCAACTAAAAAACCACTTCATTAGGCTTTCAAAATCACACTCACTACAATCCATCCATAGTCCAAGAACACAAATATCAAAAAGGGTGGGGGAGAGGAGGAGAGGACACAAACACAAACTCCACCAGCAGAAACATTATTTACCTTAAGTCTTCTTTGTAGTATAGTTAAATTTCACAGAAAAAAAAAATTTAAGAATTAAAAATTGGGCATGATGGAAGTGATAGTGACTTGAAAGTGACACAAATGCAAAAATACACTCCACCCTCCCCCAGGGAGCAAGCAGGTCACTTCTGTGACACTCCTGCTGTCCACCAGCCTGTGAGTAAATGCACCAAAACTGCTTCCAAACTTCTATCTCCCAAACCAAAGAGCTAAAAACTAATGATAACCCCAAGTTCCAGCTGACTCATTTTTGAAAGTGCAACCCTCCGGCATAAGATGTCATACTGTAAAAGAGGCAGAGCTGGCTTGCAAAACAAAAAATAAACCTGCTGGCTCTCAGTGAAGAGGCAGGTTAGAATTTTTCAAATATGAAGGTGGCAAACCTTTCAAAATTAACTCGGAAACAGGACAAAAAAAGGGGGACATGGCTTAATAAGAAAATAAAAATACTACTAAGAAAAAGGAAAGACACAGCAAAAATGCAAACAAATCCAAGCCTCAGAAGTACAACGCACAACTGCTGCCAAGTTCTACGATTCTGAAACAGGAAAAGAGGGAGTACACCATCAAATGGGAACTACATCTATTTTCCCAATCAGTTCCCTAAACTGCTGTGAACACTAATACCACAATGCTACTGCTGTAAATCTGCTGATTATTTAATACCTAAATACATTAAACTGAGCTATTAAAAACCATTTGTAAGTGAAACTTAAGAGTCTAAAATGATCCAGTCTAGAACAATCAAAGGCAGGATTGGAAAAATTATTCCCCTAAAACATATCTATTCTTGTAGAAACAGGTTAGTTTCTATACAAACTGCAAAGTTTTTAAATCAACAGAAAAGTACATATGCACAAAAGAGAAACATTTTTCCTATAGTATTATGGTTCATTTCTGAATAAATTTCCAGATATTCTGCTCTGAAAGTTCAATTTTAACTTTTAAATCTCCACAAGCTTTTATCATGACATGAATTTTTAAAGTCCCCCCAACACACAATATATTAACAGTTCCTGAGCTCTACTCCCACTCCTTTAAGTTAATTTACTCATTATCCTTAGATGTGGGGAGTATGTATAACTGTACCAAATTTAGAAAATATTAATATCCTAAAATATAACAAATCAAGATTTTAAAACTACAATCAGTTGTATCACAAACAGATCTAAAAAACTCTCAGCATAAAATCTTGACTTGCATAGAAGATTGATTACAAAATACTAGCTAATCTGAACACAGCAGCGTTAGCTAACTAGCAAACAGCGGTTCACTTCGACAATGCTAATTGTAGCTTCTCCCTCCTGCAAGCCACTCTTTCTGCCTTCACTATAACTCTTTAGGAGAAAAAAGTATGCCAATTAAAGCTAAATAAATTTCTAGACAAATGCGTAATTAAATCAACCACCACGTAAATGTAACAACTTGTATTTGAGAAATGCTTTTCTGTTTATCCATAGAGATAAGTCATTAGTGGCGGCTGCTGATATTTTGAATGAGAAAAAAGAGAAATGAATCAACTCATGTCCACTATTCTTGGTAGTGTTCCTGTATTTCACTTTACAATGACAGCCTTTTAAAGATTCTAAAATGGGTCCTGTGTGATGTTTCAACGGCTAAATCTTTGCCTTGCATGTGCCGGGATCCCATACAGCTTCTGATTCCCGTCCCAGATGATCCACTTTTCATCCAGCTCCCCAGTTGTGGCCTGGGGAAGCAGGAGAGGATGGAACAAAGGCTTGGGCCCCTGCACCCACATGGGATAACTGGAAAAAAGTTCTGGCTCCTGGCTTCGGATCAACTCTGCTCTGGCCACTGCAGCCATTTGGGAAGTGAACCAGGGGACGGAAGATCTTTGTCTCTGTCTCTCCTTCTCCCTGTAAATCTGCCTTTCCAATAAAAATAAATAAATCTGTAAAGCTTCTAAAATAACATTCAAAATTACCTTTTACAAGCTGTGGCCATTCGGTGACATCAGGGTGATCACAGCTTTGAGTCACTGATTAAAAACAGGTTGGCACACCAGTCTAGCTGCTAACTTGATCTGAGCGTAGGCTTAGTAACTCTAATAAATTAAACAAATCTTTAGTTAGAACACTTTAGCATATAAACCCAATTCACTGTCCAAAAAGAATTTGAAACTTTAAAAAATGGATCAGAATTATTAATACTTCAGAGGACTATTTTCCAGTGGGTTATCCCTAACCTGAAAATCCAAAATTCTCCTAAATTCAGTTTTCTGAGAGCTCAGATTTGAGAGCATTTTGGATTTTCAAATTACAGAGTTGTTCAGGCCAATACGAGTATTCAATATGTAAACAATTCAGAAAAGTAACATTTCTGGTCTCAAGTATTTCTGAAATCCCTTGTTCTTTTGCATAGGCTACGAGTTCACAGAGCACTTTGGTCATTAGTTACCTTGAACCAAATGACTACTTTCTAATACAGGCAGAGTGCATGTAAAAATTCTGAAAAATTAAGCAGCTTCAGAGTGATTAATTGACTTGCCCAAGATTTTAGAATTACTCCTGAAGCTAGGACGTTAACCTAATACACTGAACACAGAGGGTTGAATATAGTAGGCCAAGTTTTCGGTTTGGTTTAGTTTCATTATATAAACTCACTATTTAAGTAAATAAAGTGAACAAAAATTTAGGACACTGATTGGCAAGGTTCTTACACATATGGAGAAAATGCATGTCACCAAAAATGTAAACAAGTGATACTATTCCACATTTAAGCAGAATCACAAAGCATAAGCCAAAACTCCTTGACACTGCATGAAAATATGCTCTGGTCCCTCCCAATCATAAGCTCATTAGGTTCAATTTCATGAAAGAATATGATAAAATATGAAGCCATATCCTCCCCTCTCAACCAACTATCTTTTAATCCTGTTTTTTTGTTTTTCCTAATTGTCATTGTTCAAATTTAGCAGATATCCTTAAAAATACTATAGATTCTGATAAACATACACTTAATATAACCTGGTAACCAAGAGATAATTTCATACAACTAGCTTTTCCTCTTGTAATTCCCTACTGACCTGCATATTCATGCCCAAGCTGAGGATCGAACTGAAGGATGAGGAAATTACAGAAATGATCCTTTGTAATTAACGTGAAAATTAACAGCAGCAAACATAGAGGGTGATTACCAGCATGGACTCAGAATCTAATAAAAAACACCCAGGTATTCAACAACCCTTAGCAAAATGCTGATACACGCTGCTTCTGTACTCACACAGCTATAAACACGGGGCTTTAATTCCAAATAAGGATGAAGGGTTGTCTGAGTATATGTAATTTCAACAAATTCCAAAAACTAAGACTTACAATCCCCATAAAGGATTAGATTATGTAAAAAAAAAAGTTGATGAAACATAAAATTAAAAGGTAAGATTAAGTTGGCACAAAATACTTTGGCATCCAAGCATATAAGCGGATGAGGTGAGTCTTCAAAAAGTCCATGAAAAACATGTATTGGGGAAAAAAAATATGCATGGATTTCATAAACTTTGGCAGCAAAACTTACCTTTCATTTAATTTTTCCACTAATTTTTGAAGTATCCTTATAACTTAATTTGACTGCCATAATGATATGTCTTATTAAGAGGCTAAGTATTACTGAAGTCACACAGGAAAAAAGCGACAGCATTCCCAACATGGACAATGAAGTAAAGATGTAGTTCCTACTTAAATTTTCATTAAACTACCAGCCTACCAGCGTTATATCTATCTGGAAGATCTGAATGACCCCAACTTCTCAATTTATAAAAGCAAGGAAGATAAAGTATCTTTCAACTGAGTCACCTCTTCTATGATGCCCAGTGCTTAACAGAGCACAGACTACAAACCAAGGATTCACGTCCCATGTTTGGTCACTTAGTAGCTGGGAAATCTTGGGCAAGTTACTTAACCTCTCTGAACCTCAGTTTCCCTGTTGGTAGAACTAAAACACTGTTAAGAATTATTATGAAGATGAACAAACTAACATCTTAACAATGCCTGGCAATGAGATCACAAATAGAAGCTCTTACTGATTTTCACAGCCCGACAGCCAAGCCTGTCCCCTCAACCTTATCATAAATAGTATTTTTACTTCTCATAGAACGCACTAATCTCTTTTACTTTATTAAATTTTTTATGCACCCCTGTGGGTCTTTCATATGGCCTACCTGTGTAGTTAACTCAGCACCTAGCACAATGCTTTAAAAACAGCAAGCGTCCAAATTTGCTGAACGCATGTGTCATTATTCTAACCGTGACATTTAAATATTCATGCAATATGAATTCTTAACAAACAAAAACAAAACAAAACAAAAAAGTAAACATACCATAGTTCGCCAAACTTCTGAGGAGCTGGTGAATTCTAAAATCAGGCTCTTACAGATTTTTAACCTAAAATATAAAACACCTCACTCAATTCCTTTTACACAGACAACTGAAAAGGCTTTAAAATAAATTTTACTAAAATTTAATATAAGTTAAAATGCTTCTTTCATAATATTTATGAACATACAAAAACATATCAAGACACAAATTACTGCTGCTGTCAGGCTGAGTAAGGCTATTGAAGCAGGCCTGTGGCTTGAGTGCTTCCAGCCCACAAAGCCGCAGTTTCTCACTTTGATCCACAAAGCTTACTGCTTTCCATTTGTTTCCTCTACCCTCCCTTCTATGGGCCAAAAATACAGATGGTATTTCAAAAAGTTGATACAAAATTGCAATTAAAATTCTTATTTTGGTGCCCCCCCCCAAAAAAGCATTTATCAGTGTTTCAACACAGGGTAACAAAAGTATTACTTCTTAAATCAATTCTGGAATGTAAAGCAAACTCCCATATAATCACTATAAAACCTTATATATAGCTATTTCTCTACAGAATAGGAACTGCAGTCTTAATTTTTTTTAAGGTTTATTTTATTTCTATTGGAAAGTGAAATATACAGAGAGGAGGAGAGACAGAGAGGATTTTCCATCCACTGATTCACTCCCCAAGTAGCCAGAACAGCCAGAACTGCACGGATCCAAAACCTGGAGCCAAGAGCTTCTTCCAGGTCTCCCAAGCAGGTGCAGAGTCCCAAGACTTTGGACCCTCCTCTACAGCTTTCCCAGGCCACAGGAGGGAGCTGGATGGGAAGCGGGGTGGCCAGAATTAGAAGAACTGGGGCCCATATGGGATTCTAGCTCATGCAAGGCAAGGACATTTGCCACTAGGCTATCACGCAAGGCCCAGAAGTAGTCTTTCAACACACAGTCAATTTTACCCTCTCAGGAAACTAACCCCCAAACATTAAGAACCTCATCTAATATTCAACAGGCTGATGGTAGAAATGCACCACGTGTAATTTTAATAAAACTAACTAACCATTAGGACTTTAGAGGACTCAGTCTTTAAACCACCTGAGAAACCTAAAAGTGAAACGATTTGGGCTCCATTTTCAATAATTCTGATTCAATGCAAGAGGGGTTATATATACTTCTAATGAGGTATAGGCCTCAATTTGAGAAACCTTGTCTTCCTATAACTATTAAAAACCCATAATCATAAGGAAATACAAACCTGAAATATAGAAATAAGTTCTAAACACAAATTTCAGTCACACTCTGCAAATTTAACCATCAGCACCATAACACACAATACCGAGAACTGCCATCTCTTCCAGAGGTCTCAATACAAGAAACTACTAACAAACACCTATGCAAATCCTCATCTACTTCTTTGCTTTTTTTTTTTTTTAATCTATACATAGTTAATTAGGTTTGCTCAGCCCTGCCCTGGTCCGCCCCCTTCCAGCTGCAGTCCAGCCCACCCCAAAGCCTGTTTTAGGATGCACATTCAGTGTTGCTGCCTTAGCCTGCCTAGACTATTGTCGGTTCCTCTACCCATGGGTGATGGCAGGCTCCTTTATCACACCTAGCTTAGTCCATCACTACCCCAACTCTTGAGCTAACCAGTGGGAGCAATACTTCCACAGGGTTTGGCCCACAAATCCCCCCATAATCTACCCCTGGAAATGACTCTCTCCTGTGTTAATGTCATGCCCCTGCCTGATGTGACCCGTGTCCTGATCCATCATTATGTCAGGTACTAGGATATGGTCCTGCTAGACAAGCCCCCAGACTTAGTGTTAGCATGAACCAGTGTACGGCGGTCAGCATTGTTCGGTAACAACAAGTTCTACACAGGACTCAAGGGAGGCTGGGATCTTAGTCTTACCCATAAAGATCATCTAGTCCCTCTCCTCCAAACTACCATTTCTCAGAATCCTTGCTTACCTTCAAAGGAAACGTAACTGTCATTAGGAGACTTCAAGACTGATTAGCAACCCAGAAGCGGGTGGGTCTCAGGACGGGGCTTCTCATGCCTGGATCCCAGACCGCCGCCATGTGCACCTGGTGAGCCGTTCCCCAGGCCTGCTGGGTTCCTGGGGGCTGCTTCCTTCGGGGTGAGTAGACCAAGGGGGGAGGCCTCTGGAACTGGGCAGGTCCGGGACCTACCCGCCGCCTTTATTGGGCAGTGAATGGGATTTGGGAGAGGCGCGACCTTGGGCCTGGGAATTTAAACCTCCAGCAGCCTCCCGGCAGCTGGTGGGTCTCAGGACGGGGCATCTCATGCCTGGATCCTGGACGGCCGCCATGTGCACCTGGTGAGCCGTTCCCCGGGCGGCCAGTGCGCCATTTGGTGCCAGGCTCCGCCTGCTGGCCACCCAGCCAGGGAGTTCTGGGGATTTGGTTGAATCACTGCTTAATTAGCTCCAGGATGAACCCATTGTGCTTCTTGGACCTGAAACAGGCAGTTACTCTTCCTTTGTAAAACTTGTAATCACTAATAATGCTGAGCACCAAATACCAGTCCATGTAGAACCTATGGCTTGGGGCTTGTCCTGCACAAGTAGCTCCAACAGCTGGCTAACGTGTCAACTGGTAAGGGAACAGAGTAGATCAAGCACGACTGAGCAAACCTTAGCCCACAAGTAAAACTAGAAACCAGGAGGGAGCAAAGGTCATGCCAATCTAGACTCTTGTACCTACTGGTCTGCGGGAGCCAGGGACGCAAAGCCACAGTGTCTAAGGCAGAGGTCGGGACAGGTGAGGAACTGTGCCAAGCTGAGTCAGAGCATCCACTGGCATGTGCATGATCTATGGCTGGGAACAGGCCCAGTTGGGGAGCTAAGGGGACAACGCTAGCTGGGTTGAGGTTCCCAACAAGAGGCGTGTGGCCTGGAAGGGGGGCTGCTTTCTGATCTGGAAACAGTTGTAGTCTCCCTTGGCACAAGTGTGGACTGGGATTGGATGCACCGAACCGGGCCAGACCCCAACAGCCCCTGGTGTCCTGGAGGACCAGGGTAGATGTGGGATGGACTAGGCAAGGTCTCAAACCCCTACTGAGCCACGTGTGAGCCATACGTGGGTATGGACAAACCATGGCTGGGCTGGAACATCCAAGAGCAATGACCAGTTTGGGTTGAAGACCTGTCAGGAAAAGCCACTGCTCCTGCTAGGACAGGAGGTGAACTGAGTAGGGCTGGCTCATGGTCCCACTGGTATGCACAAAATCTGGCATTGGGAGAGGTTCTGATGGAGGAGCCTGGACAACTCCTCTGGCAGGACACAGATCTGGCAGGTAAGCGCAAGAAACATGATAGGAAACAGCCCAGAACAGGCCATGGAAAGTTACCCACTGGCATACATTTGGCATGGGTAAGGGGAAGACCAGGCTGAATCTGTTCACAACATCCACTGGCAAATCCAAGCACCAGAACAGTGTGGGTCGAGCTGGGTTTGGTCGCAACAAAAACTAGTGAACAATACGGAATGCCAAGGTGAGGTTGGCTGTACCAGATGTGACCACAGTGCCCAACCAGCACGCATGAGAACCTGGAAGGCAGGAGCGGAACCCACAGAGGAATAAGGGGTAGTTCCTTTGCTGGATAGCTATTCCCACTGGAGAGCGTGATGGAGGCAGACCAGACTAAGCAGGGCTACAACACTTGTACACCTCAGGTGGACTACATCAGTGAAAAGCCAGGCTGGGCTGATTATTCCTACTGGTGCAAACAAAATTAGAGAGAGTGGGTGAGGGTTGTTTGGACTTAGCCAGCCACAGCATCAGCTGGCAGAAGCTGGCACTGGGGGCTAGTTCTGTCAAGTCAAACCACAGAAATACCTGGAGAGTGCATAATCCAGGAGTTGGAGAAGCCTGGGAGGGAAATAGTGGGCTCCTCCCTCTTCGGTTACCACTCCCATTGGAGGGAATGAAAACCAGGAGAGGGGCTGGGGTCGAATGGGGTTTGGGACAGACTGGACGACTGCTACACATACTGGCAAACCAGGTTAGGGGGCAGGCCTGGTGGGGGTTATTGTGGGTCGCTCCAACTAGGCTGCAGCTCCCACTGGTTTATGTGAGGGCCAAGTATGTGCTGGGCAGAACCAGGCTGGAGTGCAACACCCATTGGTTCCAGTGGAAGTCGGGGCTGAAAGTAGAACCAACCCTGCAATTGCAACCACCAGCTGATTGGAGCGATGGACAGTGCCAGGCCCTGTACTTGTTAGCACATACAAGAAGTTTCCTTGGAGATCTTCCTAATCTAAATGCTGGACTCAGAACCCTAACCAAGAAAAGAGAGAAGACAAAACAGGTCAACCAACCAGCTCAGCTATGATGAACTATGTCAATCAGTGGATTTTTCAAAGACCTCATAGTGCTTGGAGTGGCAAGATTGACAGCGATTCATAACTGTGGCAATATCAAAACCATTTGAGCAAGAACCTCAGAGCATGCCCTACTTCTGGGACCTGGGGAGGGTGGGAAATTGGGTGGGCCTTCTCCCTTAATACCACCTTTTAAACATGAAGGTAACAATATGGAAAACATACTAGTATTATCCACTTTCCTGTAGCCCTTGAACCTTCTTACCCTAATTAACTATGTAAAGAATGTCAAAATAAATTTTATTAAAGCAACCCAGAAACACAGTGGGCTCAACATGAAGATACCTATGTAGCAATTCACAGCCCCTAAAGCACAGAGCTCACAGCAGGGCGGCCAGCAGGCAGAGCCTGGTGCCCATTGCGCACTAGCCACCCAGTACAGCTCCACAGGTTCGTTGTGGCTGGAATCAGAACTCTGAACACGGAGACTAACCTGGCCTGGGACCTGCCAGCGGCCAACAGCATGCTGGAAGTTTTTAAATCCTCATCTATTTCTATCACTAAAATTTTCATTTTACTCAATTCTATTCAATCCACATTCTACTTTACTCTTTAGATATTCTAACAACAATTACTTAGTTCTTTCCCTTTCTGCATATATACCGACATACGAATATATATATAAAAACATAATCATGTTAATACAACTGTATGTCCATTATCCCCTCTCCAATTTCGTGGTT